GGATCTATTAAATATCTTAATTCAGATGTTAATTCACCCAGGTGCATGATTTCACCTCTAAATTAAAATTAAAAATAAGGAGTAATGGAACAGAATTTGCATCTGCATTGATTGGCAATGTTCTCTCATTTATGAATTGCTGCCTTGATTAGTGACAAATAATTGATGGTATCTTTTTCTTCCTTTTAGAGATTCCATAACCTTTTGAGACATATCATTTTATCATTTGTTGAGGACAATACTGCATTTTTGTTTTTGAAGGCAGGGAATACTGAGGGGGATATTCTATCTAGGCTAACTTAAGGTAGAAAACCATAATGCTTCAATTTGATTAATTGTTCTGATTTGGTAGGACGGTCTGCTATGACAGCCTAGTATATCAATCATGTTGATAGATTATTTATCTTAGCAAAACTTTAAAGCAAGTTCATTTATTCATGTTTGAATCAAGATATGTAAGAATGAGATAATTATCCTTCTCTATGCTGTGTACCTGAGCAGAAAGCTCTTAGGGCTCTGTTGTATGTTTTTTTTTTCTTTGGCCAAAAACTGTTGTATAATACTTTGAGTTCTCACATTGACAAGGCTGTGATATTTCATACACGTACGCCAAGCTAATGTGAGAATTGAGATGGATATTTAGTGGGACCTATCGCTAACATGTTTATATGTCCATTTGTCACTGCCTTATTGGCTTAAGTCTACCTTTGAAGTCCCTACTTCATTGGAAAAATCCTTAAGGTAGACTTAGTCTACTAAATATAGGTAAACTACACCAACTACGAAAGAGACATATAAGCATCTCTTTGCTAAGATTCAGTGAAAAGTTTGTTTGACATGCAGGTGTTTCTTTATGATTGTTTTGATTTTCAGATCTTTTATATTTACATAGGAATTTCTTCTTTTCCTTGTTTGGCATTCTGTAGGCTGGTAGCTAATAGGATTGCTCCCACTCTATCTTCCTGCTGCTATATAATATCATAAGTGCGGCTATTTTAATTCCTTCATTGTTTTGGATGTGGTTTGAAGGCTAGTTACAGTCACGCATAAAGCACATTCCCCCTAAACTGTGAAACACCGAAGATAGCAATTTTTCAGACCTTGTTTCTCTGTAATTCCTTAACTTGCATGATTTTAATTATTTTTGTATGGCTATATTCTTGTAGGACCTGTGAAATCTGTCATTCTGTGGCACGGAATGTTTTTACAGCAAATGAGGAGACAGCTGAGAATTTAAGTGACAGCAACAATGCTATCACATTATCCTCACTTCCAATGCCGGCTTCCCCAGAAACTCGAAGATTTTGGCAGGGCCGGCGCTTCCTGAATTTTATGCTTATTTGTATGGTTATCGCATTTGTCATATCATGGGCTTTTCACTTCCATTTTCATTCACCTTAGTGTAGTTCTTTTAAGATCACAGGGAAATAAAAGCTTGTTAGAGTGGGGAAATTTGGGGGAAAACAAGGTGAAATGAAAGAAGAAAAGAAGAAATCCTGCCCAGCGACTTACAGAAGTCTTCCTTTTGAGAATGAGTGTTTTTAGTTTTCACAACCTGAGGCCTCCTAAAAATCAGCTGTTCATTTTGCATTTCTTCATTATCTACTGGGCCCTTAGCCTTAATTGGCTTTTTGAGTCTACCATCCAAAATTAATGTGGTTCATAGACAAGTACTGGAATGCTGTGTTGAAATGTATATCATAGTATTACTATTGCTGCTCCAATGCTTTTTCGTGCACCATGAATTTCCTTCTGTTATTTTTTCCCCCTTGGCTTGCTAAAGGCTGCTATATGATTAAGGCAAATTTGTGGGCTGGTTGGTTGGCAGATTGATCTTTTATGGCCATACAAAGTACCTTTTTTTTGTGAAGAAAGAATTCGTTACTAAAAAGTAATTCCGACAAGACAGCCGTTGGTTTACAATAGAGAGATACCAATTGGTTTATATATTACTTTGGGTTCTAAATACTATTTTCGGTCCTAATTATAAGAGTCAGTTGACTAATTTGAAGAAATTAAGAAAAAAAGTTAAGTTAGTTATTTGTAATAAATATGTGTTATTTTTTTAAAAATATGCTTACTAATCAAGTATGTTGGTTAAAATTATAATTATTAGAAAGATTATTTTGAAAAAAATTGAGTAAATATGAGAGACAAAATGGATTGGGGTCTTATATTTAGAACAAATATAAAAGTCAAACGAGATCTTATATTAAGGATCGGAGGTATTAAGGATTGGAGGTAGTATAGTATCTAATTTATAGTTCAAAAATAAGCAGGAAGTTAAGTCTGTTTCTTTGTATCTGTTGCTTGTTTCCTAGTTATCATTCAAAAAAAAAAAAAGAAGCAGGAAATGTTATTTTTAAGGGAAAAAATTGCACATAGCCCCTGCTGGGGCCCGGGCCTAAAAGCAAGTTACTCTTCCTGTCCCTAAAATATTTTACCTTGACCCATTCAAAACTATATGTTTGCCACTTTGCCTCCATTTTTTTTTATAAAAAGTCTCAAACATATATATATATATCTATATATTTCCATTTTCTGTTAAATGGATTATAAAAATAAATTTAAAACTGTAACTTCCATAAAATATCGGTATTTATATTAATTTAATACATAATTTACCATTACATTTTTTATGAAATATTAACATTTACATTCAGCACGTATCGCCCAGCCAATTAATATTTTCTAGATCCATCACTTAGCAGCTAGTCTTATTCATCAAACTTCATACAATTTGGGAAAATGTGCACAATATATATAATAAAATTTATAAAAATCGTATTATGTATATGTCATGACTAGTGCGACGAGAAAAAGTGACAAATTTTTTTTAATTTATCCATCAGATTTTTTTATGATGCACAAAAAATTGTTTATTTTTTAATTTGACGAGAAAAAGTGACAAATTTCTTTCGTAAAAACTTAAAAACCAAGGAGTGGATAAGATAACGAGAGGAAATAAACGTCAAAGCGTTCATTTATCTAAGGCTGTAGGATTAATGCGGGTGGGCCAAGATGGTTCGGCTTGTATATTAGAATATTTTGTCCTGCTCCTTTCTGGAGGTTGGCCAAAAATCTAAATAATAAGCCATAATTTGTTAATTTCTGTTCCAATTTATTTTTAATTATTTAATTTAATGTTTTTTTAAACTGGATGAATTATTGTTTTAATATTAATATCAAATCCTGATCTCTTCTTGATATATATACGGAGATTATGATAACTAATTATGAATGATTAGTAAGTATTTATAAATTTTAAATATTGAATTGTTGGTTTCATCTAGAAGATGTTTAAAGTGTAATTTTTAATTATAACAAAACTTACCTATCAAGAAAAATATTGAACATTTAGAATTCTCAAATCATATTAATTATGTTCGTGGCTTTTGCCTTGTGTGTTTATTATATAATATTTACCTCTATGCTTAGCTTTTCATTAAAAAGAAAATACAAGTATTTAGAAATAATGAAAAGACAACCCAAATGCAAGATGAATGAGTAATTTTGGTTAAACAAATTTGAGATGAGATGAAAGGTAATGAAGATAAGCACAATAAATGGCCAAGCATATCTTTCTGTTTCTCTTATATGTATCTTTTCTTCTAATTTTTCAGTGTTTTAATCCATTTTTTGTTGTCTTTGACAGTTTGACTTTCCAATTTTTCAAGGTTACTGTATGCTTAATAAATTTATGATTACAGTTTGATTCATTTTGTGCTCATCATGAAAAGTTAAAAACTGTGGTCGTTGGATCAAAGCTGTGGACTCCGTCATGTTAAGAGACTGAAGCGTGCAATTCGTAGTTCAAATAGACTGAAGATTATCTTTTGATCTCCCGTCACTTCAATAGGATAGGTTTTCTGAAGAGCTAGCTCACTCTGCATCGCAGCTTTACGTGAAAAGCAATTTCCTATGCAATATCTTCTTCACACAGCAAATTTTTCTTCGTCATTTCTTAATTCTTCTAGCTTGAAATTTCAAGTACCTGGGTTCTGTATTCATTAGGAATCTGCAGAAAGAAAGGAGACTGTAGGCACATCAAAAAATTCTAAACCAGCCATTACTTTTCATAACAGAGGAAAATGGATAAAGCCTGATAGAACTATCCCAAAGAAACATCAAATCATGCTAAAGATAACAGAAGGTAAAATCCATGCAGTTTCCAAATTTTTGTTCTTTTTGGCTTCGATGTTGGTCCCATTCTGAGAAATTGTTGTGCATCATTCTCCATTCCAAGGCTGAAGAAGACAAGCTGCTTATAGATGCAAAGAAGTAGGCCAATCAGGTGATACCACACTTGGCCTTGCATTGCATTCCCAAGATCTTATTGTGCCATATCATTCATCAAATAAGATAAAAAGCGTCTTGCACGCATATTAGGTGAGACCATGGTCCCTCCATCTATGAACAGAAAGAGTCACTCAAGTGAATCCTAGCGAAAAATGTGTCTAAACATGCATGGTTCTTCATGATTTGGTTTTAGTTAATCTGCCCTTCTTGTCTGATATGCTCGACATCGTATCAATACACTCAGCTTGTGATGTCGCACGCTTAAGAATAATTTGGGTTCCGACTCTGAACTTTTGGAAACATAGTCTCTACCCCTTTCTTCTTCTTCTTTTCCGCATTCTTGAGCCTGGAGCCTTACAAAGAATAGAAATTTCCTCAACCTGTTTTACAGCTTAATAGTTCTTGGGAAAAGAAGTAATGGGGAAGAAGAGCCAGCTAATCCGTTTTTCTGAGGTCCTTGACCCCCACAGTTTTTTTCTTTTTTGTATACCCTTTCTTTTTTCTTGCACAAAGGGGGTCTAGAGCTAAATCTAGAAACCCCAAAGTTCCAAATTTTGAGACAGCTCATGCCAAGTCTGTAACTCTCAAGCTCTGAGAAAGAAAAACGTTTTTCTTTCTTCTTTCCCTTCTAAGTCTTTGATTTTGAAGATGCCATCAACTATTCGGATATCCCATGCAGATTTGGAAACCACGGCAGCGACATGAGCGCTGAGGCTAGCATTGATCTCTCTGATTCTAGAGATAGAGAGTGTAGGATTTGTCGCTTGGGTTTGGAGAGTGACAGCCATGTATATGGGGTTCCAATTGAATTGGGTTGTTCTTGCAAGGATGATCTTGCTGTGGCTCACAAACTCTGTGCTGAAAACTGGTTCAGGAGTAGAGGAAAGAGGTACATGAAACCGTCTCTTCACTTTCTTTCAATTGTAAGTTTTTATGTTTGACTTTCATGTTAGATACCAGTGCTTCATTATGCTTAACTTTTAAAAACACAAAAGTTTATTATTAGATTATTCAGTTGGGATGGCCTTGGAATTTTTAGTTTGTGCGTGACTTGTTGAGTGGTGTACGTTGGGAATGCTGAAGATGATTGAAAACTTGGTCACATACGCTGAAAGGTAAGGGCAAAAGATCAATTAAATTCATGAATGAAAGGCAAAACTAAGTGCTTGATTCCTTCTCATAATTTTTTGTTTCGAGTATTCTATTCTGTACGCCTTGTAGCATAGAGGATTGTTCCCTCTCTATCTTCCTCCTGCAAGATACTCCTCCGGTCCTTAATATATGACCCAATTCTTGAGTTAGTTTTGTTTCTAAATATAAGATTCATTTATCATATTTGTCAATTTTCTCTAAATAACCCCTATGGATACTCCCTCAACCATAATCAAGTAGAAGAGGGAGATGGGTATTAAGAAAGATGATTATGATGCTTTAGGAAAAATGTGTTACTTTTTTTATAATTAACTAACTTACCTAACTTCCTTAATTTAATCAAATTAGTTAAATAGGTCTTACATTAAGGATAAGAGGAGTAAAATCAAAATTGCAGCCATTTGAATTTTTCCCATTGTTTCGGATGTGGTTTGCTGGCTTGTTGTGGACATGCATAAGAGTAAAATTCATATAAACGTACAGTAAAATAATGAATACAACAACTTTTTTCCTGACCATGTTTCTCTGTGAATCCTTAACTTGTATGATTTTTGGTTATTTTAAGTATGATTAAACTTCTTGTAGGACCTGCGAAATCTGTCATTCTGTGGCACGGAATGTTTTTGCAACAAATGAGGAGACAGCCGAGAATTTAAGGGACAGCTACAGCGTCATCACAGTATCCACAACTCAGCCACAGAATCCCCCAAGCTTTTGGCTGGATCGTCATTTCCTGGAATTTTGTATATTTATCATATTTTTCATCACATTTGTCATCGCATGTGTGTTCGCAGGCTTATTTGGCTAGTCTAACAAGTCATGTTAAAACAAAACAACCTTAATGATTATTCTGCCACACCAAAATATTTTATTGTAGTTGTTTTCTGCTTATTTGTCATATCATGCGGTTCTATTTTCATTCATCTTTGCAGTTTTTTTTTCCCAGAAGATATTAAGGTTATTAGACAGAGGGAGTGGGGGAATAAAACCAAGATAAAATGGAAGTAGAATGAAAAGTTGTCTTGGAATTTATAGAAACTGTGGTTTTGAGAATGAGTGCTTTTAGATCCGCTGACCCAATCCTCATCTCTTAAGCTACTTCCGATCTGATCTTTTCATTGGATGCATTCATATGTTCAAAGAAATAGTGTCACAAAGGAATATGGTTGTTGTGTATGGGGTTCAAATTTTATTATTACATTCATTCATTATTTTCTCTTTGTTTCTCTGGTATATTCTCTGCTTTAAGTGAAAAGCAAATACCTAACTCACACATCAAATTTATCCCATCTCTTAATTCTTCAAGCTTGAAATTGCAAGTACTTGCATATATTATTCGTTTCTACAGCAGAAAATTAAGGGTCTGTTTTCATTAGAAGTGGAAAAAGAAGGAAACTGCAGACAAATACTAGGCTGCAGGCATAGTAATTAAAAAAAAAATCCAAACCAGCCATTATCTTTCATAACATAGGAAAATGGACTCAAAAGCCTAACAAAACTATCCCAAAGAAACAACAAATAATGCCAAGAAAAACAGATTGTAAAATCTATACAGTTTTCAAATTTTTGTTCTTTCTGGCTTCCATGTTTGTTCCATCTCTGAGAGTTTCTTGTGCATCATTCTCCATTCCAAGGCTGAAAAGACAAGCTGCTTGAAGATACAAAGAAGTAGGCCACTCAGGCGACACCACTTGAGCTTGCATTGCATCCCCAAGAGCTTCTTGTGCCATCCCATTCATCAAATAAGACAAGCAGCGTCTTGCATACACAGTAGGGGAGATCATGGTCCCTCCATCTATGAACTGAGAGTCACCGAGTGAATCCGAATAAAAATTGTGTCCGAAAGACTAATATATTTCTTAATTATTCAGTTTTAATCTGCATATATTTCATCTGAAATCTAACTATGATCTCACCATTACACTATGCATAACATCTTATCAAGGACCATTGTTACTCTAGACTATTGTATAAATACTTGAGAATTGTTTGACTACCTCTCTCAGGTTTTGGAAATACAGACTCTCAACTTTTCTAGACCTCCCACTATTAACGATTTTGTTAGCAAAACTTGTATTCGATGTGCTTTCCTTTCCTCCGAGTAAATCATAATAGCCTAATATGACGCAGCCCATATTACCCCACAACGGCAAGGTTATGCTTATGAAAAACCAAAATTAATGGAGTCTAGCGTAGCTTTCTTAAATTTGAGGTGTTTGAGTTTATAAATTTCATATGAAGATCTATAATCAATTGAAACCAGAGGTGTGAATATAGGTTTCAAAGAACCTCACAGGATTTAATTTTACCTTATTCATAGTTTTATTACAATGCTGAATGCATTTTCTCACACAAAACTCATCACACCTTGTCCCAGACCGTAATGCTCAATGAAGAGAAACAGAGGCCAAAAATATTGTGGATTTGAATCCATGTCAAAAACCATAATTTAGACTGTTAAGTGAAGGCCCAAGAATAATTTTATCATAATCTCTAACACAGCCTAGCCAAGTTGCACTCAAAGAACACTTACTTGCGTGTAGCAGTCAATGGCAGTGACAAAGTCCTTGGCTCGGAAAGCAGTATCTCCATGCTTCTTCAAATTCAGGGTCTCCTGCATTTGACTGGTCCACAATTGAAATGAAAGCTGCAATTCCCCACATTAAGCAGAAGATCAGCGTTGCAGTATTAACAGAATAATAACATCATAAAAGAAAAACATGAACCTCATTGGCGATTCCCTCATCATCCTTGTATCCAATCTTCTCCAATATTTCATGTATGGCAGTAAGATCAAGTCTCAAGCATGCTTCACCCAAAGGCGTCAGTGATGGCTTTGCGGAGGATGCAGCTTCATGCCGAATACCCATCAAAACATATGAGGGGACCTGCTCAAATACTATACAAATGAGAAATTATAGTCTTCTCAAGATGGATTTCATGATCTATAACAAGTTCAAAAATTTATAAGTAGATTAGACCTGCCAAAGATGAGTAAACCGAGTCAATCATGAATAGACGTGTGATATGTGGAGCACATTTTTTAATAGAAGTAACCTCTGACATGCTTAGTTCTCATATCTTTTATAGGTCTCAGAAAGAGATTTAAGAATATTGTGGCAGAAGATTCAATAACATAGAAGGTTATCAAGTATGGCGTTGCACCTCAGTTTCTTTCTGAAGTGACATTAGAGAAGTAACAAGAGACTTTGCATTTGGTCTCTCGCGAGCTTCATACTGTAAACAACGAGAAGCCAACCGCACCAATTCAGTTCCGTCCTCCTTTGAAAAGTGACCTTCTAAGGCAGAATCCATTAACATCAAAAAGTTTTTGCCACGGATCAGATCAAGTGCCTGTAAATTAAGAAAAATAAATGGTGCCAACATCAAATCTCTGAACTTCATTAGCTAGATGAGAATTATATAAAGCCAACTTAAATATCGTAAACTGAATCCATTCCTAACTTCTACTATTGAAAGCAGTAGCTCGCAGTAGATATTTCAACGAAGACAAGTTGTGAGTGAAATATCAGATAACCTCAAAAATAACATACAGCTACTCCCTCTCTTTTCCGAGTGTTTTCCAGCTTAGTACATTTTGATCTCTCGGGTAAACTTATCAAAGCAACTTACTCTCTTCAACGGTAATGAATGTTACTCTTCTATCTATTTGATTTTAGCAATTTAAATCAACAGCCACCTTCTGTTAAGTTCTGGGCCAAGGATACTTTTATTAGGGTATAAAAGAGTCGTCAATTACTTCTTGTAAAATTATACAAAAGTATTACTATAACTCCAATAAGCAAACTAGAGGGACCATAAGTGTAACTATGCATAACACAAATACTGATGAACGAACACTGAGAAGCCATTATGATAAGCAAATTCGAAGATTGAGGTCGTAGAAGAGATCCTAAATTTATAATATCTATATGAATGAAGAAACGCCCTACAAGCCACATGTGTGTATTTTTTAGCAAATAAGTAAATAAGCAAAATTTTGGAGAGGAAACTTACATGGCTAGGGGGAATATGTTTGCCACTCAGAAGATCTAGCAACAAAGTTCCGAAACTGTAAACTACACTCTCTGGTGTCACTCTACCTGCATAAATAATTGTCAAATATCCAAATTATTTATAGGCGAGCAAACAATCCACAGACTGAAAACATGCATATATTTATTTCAAGTTAAAATATTTCCGATCTTCATTTTGCAAACAACTTTACAAACAAAAAATTGTTCACTGCTGATACAGATTATTGTTCCAGGCGTGACACAGAATTAGAAAGCTATTATAAGAATGATTAGCTTTACAGCTAAAGAAACCAAAAAGCCAAGCCGTCCCCTGCAATATGAATTTTGACATGAATTTACATGTGCTTCCGTAAAATATAATACTACTTTCTCTAATTCAGAACTTTCATTAATTAATTATTTGCAGAAGATGACGTATCCCCCCCCACCCCCAAAAAAACAAAGCTGTAAAAAAACAAACCTCTACTGAAACAGACAGGGGCATCGCAATAATATTAAAAGATCTATATTCATTCAAACCAATCAATTTTTTCATGTCAGATTCACGCAGAGATTCCCAGCCATCTTAAGAATTCCAAAATCATATAACTATGGATCAATCCGCTGTGAACTGAACATTTCAAGACACGCATACTAACAGTATTACCTGTTCTCAAGTACTCAGGTGGTGTAAAGGCCAAGTTTGTACTGTAACTCTTGCCATCTCTGCTGTTCTTCATAAGCCCAAAGCAAGACAACCTCGGATTACCATCCTGTTGATTCAACATAAGCAGATGCAGGGAAAAAATTAGTCCTTTCAGTTTCAATTAGAATAATATTGTCCCTTCATTAATGAGAGCAATTTAAGCCCTTCTAGTGTTGACCCACGAAATATTATCTCCCTGATTATCAGATCAAATCAAGTAAAAATATCAATTAGATGGCATAATAACTTTAGTCATGCTGTTAAAAATAGAATTTAAAACTGTCTTCAATTTATTTTATAGATATACTGATTTATATTCAACAATGGGGACGGCAAGTGTAATTTAGACAAGAAATAAAAATGGAAGTATGTCTTTTACAAAACCTTATACCTGATCAAACAAGATCCTGTAGGCATTGAGATCATGATATAAAGCCCTTCCTTTACTGCTGCAGTACTCTAGAGCTTGAGCTAAGTACAAGGCCACCCTCAACCTCATTGCCCATTCCATGGGTTGTGCCTCCCCTGAATCAAATCAGTCATCGTTATTCTTTCCGTTCATAAATCAAATGTCCAAATAAAAGATTCTAAATCCAACAAAGATTTAAGATGAAATGCATAAGCGCATAATGATCTAGAATAGCTCACAGTGAAAGAGATGCTTTGCCAGAGTTTCATGCGGCATGAACTCTGCTACCAGCAGCCTTTCGTCCCCTTCATAGCAATAACCAATCAAGTTGGCTAATCTCTCACTTCTCAGACTCCCCACTTGCTTAGCTTCCTCCTAGAACCACATTTCATCATACTAAAAAAGACAGACCAATAAAAGAATAGAATGAAATCCTATTTTGGTTCCTAACTAATTCAATATTATTTTTCGAATTTGGTCATTAATCAAAGTTATATTGGTTGTTTCAACTTCAAAGCGTAGCATATGCCCACCGACAAGAATCACCAGAAAACTAACACTTAGATCTGCTAACTTAGACATTATTTGATTGCCCGACATTATTATTTCCACCTCATTTTTCATGTCAAAATCAGCAAACATTTTATTTTTAATTATGGATCAACATTTAAAGAGCA